CAGTGTGGAGCTGGAGGAACACAGCAGGCCAGGCAGCATCAGAGGAGCAGGAAAGCTGACGTTTTGGTTCGGGACCCTTCTTCAGAAATGTTGAAGAAGAGTCCTGACCCAACACGTCAACTTTCCTGCTCCTCTGATGCTGACTGGCCTGCTGTGTTCCTCCAGCTCCACACTGTGTTATCCTGGACTCCAGCATCTGCAGTTCTTACTATCTCCAAATTTTAAACAATATTTTCAATGAACCCATTTCGCATTGAAATTCCAGTCAAAACATGTCAAACATTTCTCATTAAAATTGTAGTCTATTTGTGTTTCAATTTCAAATAAATCTTATTTCTTGCAATAATATTGCAGATTACTTTTTTAAAAGAAAGTGTGCTATGCAAGTTTAGCTATTAAAAATGTGCCTTAAGCTGAAAAAGGTTGGACAGTTCTGTTCTATAGAATCTATTGCTCTCCCTATTCATACTGTTGAGTACTCTATTGAGTATTCTTGCTCACTTCAGGATCCCAGTTCAGCTAAAAGATTTATCTGTTAATAAGTCATGAGCCATTATCACATTCCCTTTAAATCATGAGCATGACAATGACGTAACTAGATGTACAATCAATCAACTGAGCTTCGCTACCAACACTGTTCATTATGAAGAATTATTAATACTAAATAATTATGTTAATACAATCATTAGCACAACCAGCCAAATTTCATATCAAAAGCATAGTAGGTTTTACTATTTATAATGACAGTAACGTGCCCAACATTTCAAAGCAAATGAGTATGATACTACTGATTATGTAAGGAATGGAAGTTTAAGAGGCAAATGTTACCAATGTTGAACAAAAGCTTTCAAAATAACATGTTTACAGTAACTGAAATGCAAACATTCAGCTGTGATTGTTAAATTTCTGCATTTTGCTCCATCAAATGATAAAATCTGCACAATTTTCTCTCTGTAGTCATACTTCTTCCAAGTCACAATTCATCATCCCCAAGCCAAACTGTGTTTTTCTGATCAACCTCACCAATCTTCACTGCATCAAACGTTAAAAATAAGGAACAATTTAAAATGTACTGTATCTATTAAAATCATTTAAAATGTACTGTATCTATTAAAATCATTTCAAAAAACTTCAAGGGAGTGTACTTGGATTGTTTTTTATTCTTTGTGCACTCATAGGAGGTGGGTGTCACTGGCTGGCCAGTATATATTGCCCATCCCCAGCTGCCTTTGAAATGAATGGCTTACTAAGCCATTTCAGAGGGCATGTGAGAGTCAACCACATTGCTGTGGGTCTGGAGTCTCACGTAGGCCAGACCAGGTGTGGATGGCAGATTTCCTTCCCTGAAGGACATTAGCGAGCTAGATGATTTTTCTGATAATCACCAATGGTTTCATGGTCATCAGTAGATTCTTAGATCCAGATCATTTTTATTGGAATTCAAATTCCACCATCTGCCGTGGGGGGATTCAAACCTCAGTCCCCAGAACATTAGTGGAGTTTCTATATTATTAGTCAAGCAACAATACACTAGGCCCTCGCCTCCCCAAATTACACATTATAGCACGTTGGAGTATCACAAAGGTGGGGGAAATTCCACAATTATAAATAGATCACTACTTAGCTACACATTTCTCAATTTCTTCACTTTCCTACCCTGTTCTTCCATTGTACACATTTCAGTGATTACATCAGTGTAGTAACAGCACAATGAGCCAATTCAAAATCACTCAAGTAATACATAATAATGGTGTTGTTATCCCTGATGAGTGTTATTTCATAAATGCAGTATAGTTAACTTAGAACATTAAAAATGCAGATAAGTGCAAGAGAGGGAAAACCTAAGCCAGCTGCACATTTTCTGCATGTACCCTTTGCACAGATATTACTAATCAATACCAGTGTAATTTTGTTATTGTTAATCCAAAGCCACAAAATGTTTGATTTATTGCAACTTAAATTACAGAATTGCATCATCACAACATAATAGAGAAGATTTGTAATATTTTGGAGCAAACTTCCAAAGGAACATGGAGGTGGGATTGAATGTGCTTGAGGAGTTAAATGAACCAAAGGTGCCTGGAGCATAGGAAATCTGGCTCCAATCTAATTACATGCCAGTTTTATGGAGGCAGGCAGACAGACATGCAGCCACTTCCAGGGCCTTTCCTGCCAGACCAAATACCTGACAACTGGAGAGAAGTGAATTCTCCACCAAGAAGCCAAGTGCCATACCAGCATCTCTTGAGGGCCAGGAAGAGCAGTGGAGCTTCTTTCTATGGCCTTCAAAAGGTCCCCAATGTGGTCAGGTCCCTATCTGTACCCACTTGTAGAGTCAGCGATCAAACCCCACTTTGTGATCAGACATGTACTGCCCCAAACCCGATTTCTGGAGTTGAATATACCTGGCCCAGCAGCCACTTCCAGAGTTTTCCCACACAACTAAAGGCCTGCTCCACTGATCAGGCCGACTACCAGGCAGGGAACCTATTAAGCCGAAAGTCACATGCTCTGGGAGTTAGAATTACATTATGCAGTGAAACACAGATTTCCTCATTTCCCATGTGTTGCCAAAATCCTGCTCCAGGCTCTGAGAGCATCAGCAAGTTTAAGAGACTCCCCTGGATTTCAAGGACTAGAATACATGTCTGCATTAGCCATTTTCAGGTTATAGAATGGAGTAATATTGACCTTGTTCAAATCTTCATTGCAGCAAAATAATTCTCCCCCACATTGCCCTCCACCTGTAGATGAGACTGCAAAATGAACTGTAGTGGTTCAAGATAGCAACTCAGCACTAGCTTTGACTGAACTTGGGCAAAGCAACACATGCTAGTGTTATCAGCAACAGCCATGTCCCAAGAATGAATAAGAGAAGTGTTAATTTGTAAGAAAGCAGCAAGTTTTTTTTTTATTTCAATAACAAAGCTATCTTATGATTGCATTGCGCTGCATTGGCTTTTTAATCCTGGATTCCAATAAATTGTATTTAATATATTTTGTAAAGGTTTTGACAATCTGTGCATATATTAAGGTCGTACACAATCCTAGAAATATGAAACTGTACAGAGCTAGAAATTACTGTCCTTTTGGACTGTCACCTCAGAAATAAAAAAAAATAACATTTGCAAATGAAATTCAGGTCCAACTCTTGTATACTCAGGAAAAAAAGACCAGTCTGCTCATTTTCAAATATTTCATTTTGTTTTCCTCCACACAGTATCTACTAAGTATCTGGAAAGTATTGTGTTCTACAATACTGCCTTTATCTTTCTATCCGTTTTCTTTTCCTCTAGATGCTCAGTCAGTTCATTCTTAATTTTGTTAATACAGTCAGGTGCTACTGTATCCCTAAGCAGTTAATTCTGCCAACATCTGTTTAAATTAACCAGCTCCAAAAACGTCCCTTCAATCTCACTCCTCTTAAAGTCGGGGCTATATCCTTTTCTGAAATTGAGATATTAAAAGAAGAGCAACTAACATTTAATTATCCACTTGAAGATATCTGTAAATTCATGCACAAAGCCAGACTTACTTGGTTACAGGGTGATGGGCAGGAGGATGCATGCATGGCTTCTTGGCCCTAAAGTGCCTGTATTAGGGACGATGAGAATCAGAGATTGAGGCAGCTGGATCAGTCTTGGCTTCTTGGGCTATGCCATGGGTCAGAGATTTAGCCTGCCTCCACCCTTGCAGTCATGTCAGTTGAACTTTATAGGAACCTGTTAAGTTATTGCTAAGGGGCACATCTTTAGTTGAATGAATTTCCAAGAACGTGCCCACACAATTGAGCGGTTCCCATTTCAAGCTGGACATGATTCATCACACATCTTGACTGGAGTATATGCCACCTGATTCACTCGTGTCTGTTGCATTTTCAGGGATGAACATGCGAGGGCGTAAGAGATCACACGTCATCTTGCTTATTCTGGGGCAGTCTTGCTCTGCAGTATGTATGCCCAGCAAACAAAGACCTATGGATCCTCTAGAATTATCTCGGAAAAATCTCTGAACTACAGCTGACTTAATACTCTCATACTTCAAGCTGGCTTTATATATAAAAAAAACTTTAGATACAAAAAAAAACAGCTGTTGCATTTCAGGGAACAAGAAGAGAATTGAAATTACAGGAGCTTTCTTGAACAGCTTTGTGTTGTTCACACTTCTTGCTACCTCTTCCCGCTCTTGCCCAAGCAACCTAGCCACCACCATCAATATTTTCCCATTAGTTGTCACTGACGTTCGATAACTCTTCATTCCTGACTAATTTTAATTCGACAAACAGGCAGTTATTAGTGGCAGATATGAAGACAGAATAAATAAAAAAGACATAAAAAGCAGTTTCAGAGATAATAGGAACTGCAGATGCTGGAGAATCTGAGATAACAAGGTGTAGAGCTGGATGAACACAACAGGTCAAGCAGTATCAGAGGAGCAGGAAGGCTGACGTTTCGGGCCTAGACCCTTCTTCAGAAAAATGAAGAAGGGTCTAGG